TTAATAGACAGGTGGAATTGGATGAAGACCGCCATGACGATATCATGGAAAGATACACGGCGAGTCTATATGGAGGGGATGGTAGGGGGACGGATACGGAACTCACGCAGATGGAGCGACTCTATGCGGAGTCGCATCCCACACTGCACCACTAGCTAGCTTGGGAACAATACGAGTGGCAGGGTAGGGCCCCCAAACCATGGCTGCCACCCGATAGGAAGAAGAGTTTCGAGGTGTTGAACCTCAGCAAAAGGGTTCTGGGCGAGGAGGTGATAGGGTTACTGGGTAGGGGTATGAAATTCATCTTCTCCTACACCCACACCACGTATTTTGATTATAATAATTTTATGAAGAATATCATTAATAGAGAAATAAAAATGAAACATATCAAACCTGAGGATGCTAGCAGGTTCGTCCATAATGACCTATTCATCAACTCCTTCATGGAATTTTGCTACACAAATGAGAAATTATTCAATAACAAATGCACTTTTTTAAAAGCAAACCACACCAGGAATGATATACATACCTTGATGAAGTTGAGAGAGGACAATGAGATCATCATTCGTAAAGCTGATAAGGGAAGCACCATTGTCGTGATGGACCGGGCCGAATACCAAGAGGAGGCCCTGCGCCAACTGAATGACGATCGATACTACAAGAGATTAGACGGAAGCTTGAAGGTAGTTAACATTAATTATATTTCAAACAGATTGAACAAAGCCTACCGTGAGGGAGAGATCTCAGACAACACGTTGAGGAGGTTGCTACCGGATCCTGACTGCGCGCCCAGAAGATTCTACATGCTGCCCAAGATCCACAAGCCTATGAATAAATGGTATAATGCCAGCTGCCCGCCAGGCAGACCGATAGTATCCGATATAGGGTCGGATAGTTGTAAAATAGCTGAATTTATAGATACCAACCTCAGGGGGTGCTGTAGCGATATGACCCATGTCCTGTTGAACTCGCAGCAACTGGTGGACAAACTGAGATTTCGACCGATCGATTGGGAGGACACTTTCATCACAGGGGACATTGCATCGCTGTACACCAACATCGACCTCAAACGAGCGATGGCGGTGGTGAGAAGGGAACTCAAGAAGAGGAAGGCACCCCACCGTCCGGACAACCTGATTCTGGATCTGTTGAATTTTACGCTTTGTAACAGTGATTTTATATTTATGAATACATTTTACTTACAAATAATGGGGGTAGCTATGGGAAGGGCATATGCTCCGACCATAGCGAACCTGTATTTAAGGAATTTCGATGATATTATCACTAACCGTTTCAAGCCTTATTGTTACCACCGTTACTTGGACGATATCTTTCTCTGTGTGAGTAAAGGGTTTGATTATGAGGGTTTTTGTGTGGGGGTGAATGGATTGATGGACAATATTACAGTTGAATGTTGCATGAATGATAAAATTATTAATTATTTGGATATTTCTATTTACAAATTTCTAATTATGAATAGGTTAAGAATACACACCTGTGTCCATTTAAAGGATACGGATAACTTGGCTTTATTACATCATGACTCATGCCACCCTAGGCATGTGATGAGAGGGATTATAAGATCGCAGTTTATTAGATATTTTAGGTTAAGTAGCGAATTTGACTCGTTTTGGTATATGGCACGAATGTTGATGAATGTGTTGATGGATAGGGGATATGGTTATAAGGATATGAAGAAGATACTTAGGGATGTAATTAAGGAATATGACATGTATGAATGGTTCAGGAAATACAATTTTGGATGGAACGGGATGAATGAGGAATTGACTGAGAGGACGAATGATGTTTTGGGTGTCGGGCTGAATAATATTTATGTTGAGGGAAGGGAGAGGGAGATGATCATCCCCATCCCCTTCTCTAATGGGCTGAACACTCTCAAGAGTAAATTAATTGAATTTTTTAAAACGAATAGAAAGAATACGAACGTAAGATGTGTTAACACTAGTAACATACCTTTAGGCCGGTTGTTGTTTCGGGACTGATGATCCCCATGTATATATCGACCTCTAATAACATGGCACGGCGTTGGTTATTTCGTATTTACGAGTGTTTTGACTCTTCTGATGATGATGGCCTTGCTTGTTGTCTATATAACCCACCTATTATTTTCAGGTATTGTATATCTGTAGTTTGTATTTATGTAATTCATGTATTGTTTTTTATGTAACCCACCTATTATTTTCAGGTATTTTCTTCAGTTATGGTATTTAGGTAATTTCATGTATTGTTTTATTGTGTGATCTTCTGGTTTTAACCCGGACCCTGACCTTTTTCACATCATACATGTTTTATCGTATGATTGGCGGCAGTCTGTATGCCTTGGCTTAGTGAATTGGGTATTGTATGTAAGAGTTTGAATAACCCTTGACCGTTTTGTCTGATTATTACGATTTGGTCGGTGTAATATATTTATATATTTTTATATTTTAATATTTTGGTATCTAATATTTTGATATTTGGGTATTTACTATTTCGAGTGTTTAACTGGTAAGGGGTTACCTGCTTGGATGATGTTTGTGGATATATTAGGTTATTTGAGGTCTAATCTGACCGTCTCTGGTTTTCTGTATTGATGAGTTTTTAATATACATGTTGCACATCTTTATTTCGTATGATCATGCTTTCGATGTTTTAGGTGGTGGGGTACATGCGGCTAGGGAATGAGGCCGGTTTAGTGATAGTATGGGGTTTGAGTAACATTTTGACTGTTTATATTTGTTGTATCTTGACTGAATTCCGATATATTGTGGACATATTAACTTTTCTTATACCTTCGATATTTGTAAGATAGGTGGTACGCTTCGGATTGGTATTGCTTGGTTATGCATCTTATTATGTTAGAGTATTATTGTGATTGTTTGATTGTAATTGGGATACGGGTGATCATTGTTTGCATTGTTTGTAAATTTAAAAAATTTTATTGGATCGATAGGAGTCATAGGTTGATGATATAATTGATTGTGTGTATAATTGATCTTGTGCATAAGGTTGAGCATTAGGAAGATACAGACCGTTTGGGATTTTCGAGATTTTCGATATCTCATATAATTTTGGGTAGATTTATTCTTTAGGTTTTTCCGTATGATAGTGGATATAATTTGTAGACTTAATCGGTGTGCGTATATGATAGTAGGTTATGAACATAGTGACCGTTTGAGATTTACGAATATTTTTATATAAATTTGTATTTGGTTATATATTTTTTTTTTGATTTTTTTGGGCGATAGATGGTATAGGTAGAATATATAAGCGATTCTACGTATAACTTGGGATGTTAGGAACATCTTGACCGTTTGGATTTTTCGAAATTTTGGATTTAAAAATTGTTTTACATATTTATTCATTCGATTCTTTGAACGATAGGGGGTATAATTGGAAGATGTATATAGATTTATGTATCACTTGGGGTGTTATGAAGACTTTGACCGTTTGGGATTTTCGAAATTTTGGATTTAAAAATTTTTTACATGTTTATTCATTCGATTTTTTTGAACGATAGGGGTTATAATTGGAAGATGTATATAGATTTATGTATCAATTGGGGTGTTATGAAGACTTTGACCGTTTGGGATTTTTCGAAATTTTGGATTTAAAAAATTTTTTACATGTTTATTCATCCGATTTTTTGAACGATAGGGGGTATAATTGGAAGATGTATATAGATTTATGTATCACTTGGGGTGTTATGAAGACTTTGACCGTTTGGGATTTTCGAAATTAATTTTTTACATGTTTATTCATTTGATTTTTTTGAACGATAGGGGGTATAATTGGAAGATGTATATAGATTTATGTATCGTTTGGGGTGTTATGAAGACTTTGACCGTTTGGGATTTTCGAAATTATTTGATTTAATGTTTGACATGTTATTTTCTGCACGATAGGTGGTACAACGGGAAGATTTAATTGATTGACGTATAAGATGGTATATTGGGAATATATTGACCGGTTTTGATCTAGGAAATAATTTTTATATAATTCTTATAGTTTTCCATAATTTCACGAGGCGCATTTAGATAACCTACATAATTATGCATATATATTTAATCTGACCAACTTACCTTTCCGAATTATTCTAGTTTTTAATTATATATTTTTTATTGGAAACGTCGCGGTTTGAATATTAATATACGGGGGATTCTACGCGACACATAAGGTGACTATAACTAGTGATTTTCGTAATAACATTTATTTTACATTACATTTCATATTTAACGTTAGGTTGTATGGATAAGTTTTCCTTAGCAACGATTCTGTACTATATCTGGTTGCATAATATATTCTCGCTCGTATACATTCTTATTACCATATATTATACTATATCTGTTCTCATAATATATTTTCGTTGGTATAATATTTTTTCGCTTGCATAATATATTCTCGTCGGTAGAATATTTTCTCGCTTGCATAATATATCCTCGCTCGTATACATTCTAATTGCCATATACTGTACTGTATTTGCTCTCATAATATACTCTTACTCGCATACATTGTAGTTGCCCTTATAATGAAAGTATATATTGCTTAGGATATTTCATATATCACATATTTATTGTATGAGATCACGACTCTATATTATACATTTGATGCAGATTGAGAGATATATATAAATATATAATGGACGATGTAGTAATGTTATGCATGTATAGATCATTATATTGATGTTATTATTCGTCGGAGTACCCTATTTTATATTTCAAATTTTATATTTCAAATTTTATATCTTGTATGCCTAACGTTTAATGTTATCCATTGCAATTATGACCCTGCATTTATGTCTGTCTTTAATTTATTTACACGGATGACTTTACACTGTTGATTTTGTATTGATTTATTCTCAACTACACTATGTGATCGATTTTTTCCCAACTACACTATGTGATCAATTTTATTAATTTGTTTCCCTGGTTTTAAACAATAGTTCATTATTATATGTTTGAAGTTTAGTTCCTCTTATATATTTCACTTTATGTTTGTTTGATGTTAAAAAATTTTAGATTTTATATGTTTGTTTGATGTTAAAAAGTTTAGATTTTAATTGTACTAATTACTGGGTTTTCTTAATTTATATAGTGTTGATGACTATTTATTTTGCTTGTGCTTTAAGGTTTTAATGTCTCTATATCAGTTATTTTATGTTATTATATTAGAGACGATAAATTAATATATGTGATTTAATGTTCTTTTATATATATATTTATATATTGTTTATTACACAGTCTGCAGTTCCTGATGATAACTATTGAAACACATGTGTCGACCACGCAGACTGTTTAGATATTATATCAATACGAAATAAAAATTTTACAACACGATCACGAGTTTTATTATCCACACAGTCACAGCCGCGTTAAAATACACTTGATATTTTATCATCACCCTAACGAAGATTGATTAATTATTATCATTAATTTATTAAATGCTGTGCATACCTATGGCAAGTAAATAAAATAATTAAGCATAGAAATAGCCACAATCAAATTAATTTATATAGGCATGAGTATAATTTGGATAATAATAATTAAAAATATCGGTATCATTGAAAATGGATAAAGTCATAAATAAAAAAAATAAATTATAAATTGCTAAAAATAATAGTTCCAGTAAGATTTTGCCTTACACCTACATCTTTTTTTCATTCTTATATTATAATAAATGTTTGTTATCAAATATATCAAGGATTGATTTCTCAATCCATGACTAGATTGAATGACATGACCCTACAGTTCCAGAGGATCCCCATCACCATTAGTCAATAAGGTTTGTAGAAATCACCCCAGGCATACCATCAATGTTTTGTAGCCACCTCTTAATGTAGTGTTAATAAAATGACATTGAGAATAGTTATTTAAAACAATCTTATTAAAGTTATTGAACAGGTATGACAAGATTACTTTCTTAATGTCCTAGTGTGAGGAAGATGTAAGCCATTTGTCCAAAGATAATCATATGCCTTATGCCCATACAAATGCAGTGTCAACGCAAATGATTTTTGATCAGTCATATGTTCTAATTTTTTTAAACTTTTCTTGAAATTTTTCTGTTAATTTATTTGTTACATTAAATACTTGATGTGTATTTCATATAAAAACTTAATTATGCCAATTTAGTTAACTTGTTAAGCATTAATATAAAATTGACTCTACTTGTAATGGGGATTGGTATGATGATGATGATCCCAGTCCTAAGCAGGGATTATTATTCACAATGTCATTATGCCCTTTCTAAGTTTTAATAAAATACATGGAATATTGGTGAATGCATTTTATATTTTTTGTATAGATAAGAATGTCGCAATGTACAATGATGTGAATTGCTTCCTTGTGTAACTGATGACATATAAATATAACTAACTTGAAAACATGGGAATGCTTTCTTCAGCATTACCTTCCTTTCTCCATCATAACCCTTATAATCATTATTACAGAAATGGTCACTGCATATTCTTGCATTTTTTGATGGAAGCCATTTGAAATCATTTATTTCCTGTCTGATGCACTAAATCCAATCGTTTTGCATTTTTACATTTTGAGGAAATCTGAAATTTTATAAACTGTTACAGAAACTTGTGCATTTCTTAAGTATTGCTTTTAATAATAAGTGGGACTGGGTGGGGTATTGTGTGGAAAGAAATGGTCAGTGAAGATGAAAGGGAGGGTATATAAAGCATGTGTGAGAGCAGCGATGGTATATGGTGGTGAAACTTGGGTGTTGAGGAGAGAGGAGGAAAGTGTACTGCAGAGGGCTGAAAGAGCTATGGTGAGGATGATGTGTGGGGTTAAAGTGAAGGATAGGAAGAGTAGTACAGAGCTGATGTCAATGATGGGACTGAATGAGGACATTGTGACATTGATAAGGAGATTGAGATTGCGGTTGTATAGACATGTGTTGAGAAGGGATGAAAGGGTCGGGATTAGGCGAGCGTTGGAGTTTAAGGTTGAAGGAATGGTAGGAAGGGGTCGTCCGCGATTGGGATGGAGAGAGCAGGTGGAGGACAGGGTGAAAGCGGGGTTGCGTGATACTGAGGCGAGTGACAGATGTGGATGGCGTCGAGGGGTATTTCGGTTTCATCATAGGTAGCCAAACGGCAACCCCCGATCTCGGGGAAAATGCCGTCTAAACGTGTGTTGTTGTTGTTGTTGCTTTTAATAATAAAATGGTAATCCATGATAGCATTATAAATTATAATAGTCTATAAAATAAAATATATGTAATTGTAAAACAAAATAGTTCTATTCAATGAGTATAGGGGTATTGTTACATTTATTTTAGTGTGAAGTTAATTTGAAAATAAACCTGTGAAAAGATGCATCAGAAGTTTTCTCATTTCTATTTATTATTAATGCAATTTTTAAATGCAACAGGTAGGCATGTTTGTGTATAGCTACGAAAATGAAAATTTACTTAAAAACTAAATTATTGTATCTGACACGAAAATTAGTACAGAAACAAAAACGAAAGAATAAATGACAATATAAAAATTTAAACATTGATTGAAAGAGTTTATTCTAATTATATGGTGTGGGCAATTCGTTGCGAAATCGTTGGAGGAAATGGTGTCAACAGTAGTTATTTTACTGCATGGTAGTTAATCAGCCTGTATAAAGGTTATATCCAATTCCTATCAAATAAATTTGACAAAATATCATACACAGCCAGAAGTAAATAAAGAAATAGATAGATATATACACGTAGTTATAATACATTTATAATGTTGTATTCACACATTCAAATTGTACAATTGTGTTATGGTATAGTCTCAAATTATTTTGAATTCTCTCAGAAAATTTT